CCTCATGGCCCCCCTGCATCCCCACTGCACCCCATACATCCCTACAAAGCTCCCTGCATCCCCATCAGACCCCCTGCACCCCTACGAAGCACCCTGCATGCCCATAGGACCCCCTGCATCCCTCATGAACCCCCTCCATCCCCACAAACAGGAACCCCACAGCACGCAGGCACCCATCCTGCACCCCACCACCCACAGCCCCACGGATAGCAGCCGCCTCGCAGCTCTCCAGTATCCCATAATTGCAGCAGTGGGTCTGGGACAGTGCCAGTGCCCAACCCCACACCGTGCCACGCCGTGCCCCACTGCGCTGGCACCGCAGCCTCACTGCTGGCAAAGCTGCCCCAAGGTCACCCCAAGGCAGCACCCATTTATTAACAAACAAACCTTCCATCTTGGAAGTGTCGTTAACCCCAGGGCACTCCCATTCCTAATTGCATGCAGGGAGGGCCATCTTTCAGCCCCCCCCCCCCCCCCACCCCTCTCTATTAGTGCCCACTATTTGTTCAGGCCTTAGTAATTAATTTATGGGCTGTTCACGAGCCACTTAAATGAGAGCTCTAAATCATGCTAAGTGGCAATAATGCCATCTTGGCTGCTTGGGGAGGAGGGAATTGCCATCCTGCTTCCAGCATCCTCCCCCTGCTGCACAGCACTGCCAGGCACTGCTCCGAGCAGAGCTGAATCCCATTGCACGTAGCTACAGGGAAGGTCAGTTCATAGTGGGGTGGGGGGGGTTTAGGGGCGCCCCCATCACGAGAAACCCCACAGGGCTGCGGGAAGGATGCACAAAACCCAACACCGCCCTGATCTGCTGCCCTGGGAAGGAAAAAAGGGGGCAATAAAAGGGGTCTGGAGCAAAGCTGGGGGGCACAGGGCTGGCATCCCTGCAGTGCCATCGTTACCTTCCTTCCTCATCCCCACACGGAAGCACTTCTTCAGGCGGCAGTACTGGCATTGGTTGCGGTGGTGTTGGTCGATCTGGCAGTCACGGTTGGACCTGCAGGGGGGTGAATATGGGTGGGTGGGGGGGGGTTTGCAGCTCAGTGTCACCGGCCCCACAGCCTCCTCCCAGCCCCCCCCCCCCCCCCAAACACACACATAGATGCTATGGTAACAGTGCCTGGGAGTTATTTCCAGCAGACAGGGCTGAAAATCCCTATTTGCAGCCTTGGCTTTGGGACTGCGGTGTGGGATGGGGCTGCAGCCACGCAGTGCCCACAGTGCAGCTGGGGAAAGGGGGGGGGGGGGCACAGCTGTGGGAGGAATTCCAGCTATTTCCTATGGAGCTGTAGGACCAGGCTGCCTGAAGGGCTGGGTCCCATGGGGGGGGTCAACCCTACAGAGTGATCCTTCGGTGTCAGATTTGGGTAAAAGTGCAGGGAAAGCTGCCACAGATCCCAAAGGCACAGCGATACCCACAGCCCCGCCTGCAGGAGACCCCCAGCAGAGCAAGGTGACAGCAGACACGTGCATCCCAAACCAGGAGGAAAAGGGATACGGGAGGGGAAGGGAAAAGAAGGCACAGAGCAGCACAGCCACGGCGCAGCCCCAACACGGCCATCCTGATTCCAACACAGCTCCGGAGAGCAGCGCACGGCGATTCCCAGCTCTCCAACCTGCATTAATTCACCCGAACATCACCGCTGCGCCCAGCACAGAGCCTGCTGACATCTCCATCAGCACTGACCCCATTGCCACCAATGGAGCGCGGCCCCACTGATGCGTGCAGGGAGCTGCGAAGCCGTGAGAAGACGCAAGGCGGATACGGTGCTAATTATGTAATTAGAACGTGTAATTATTTAGTGCGAGAACTACACCGACTCCGACTCACTTTTAATATTCAAATGAGAGCAGCGTTGGCTTTGACTCCTTCCACAAAGCAGCACATTGCTCCCTGGCCTTCCAATGGATGTAGGAAACTCTGCTTTTCTCCCAGTGCTGGACCGGGAGGGGAGGGGGGGGAAGGGGGAAAATCCACCCTGAGGTGGGGATATGGGGAAACTCATCCCAAAGGGGGGATGAGCACAGGGCAGTGCCTGCAGCACGTGGGGCACAGAGCACCTGAGGAGCCCCGATTTGGGGTCTCTTTGTTCCCCCCTGTGCTCAGGGATCTCTCGGAAGCAGCGTGCGTTTCCCATCTCCCACAAACTCATCCTGAGTGGATGCTGTGAGGGGAAGCAACAGAGCTTTTTTCTCCTTGCTGACGTGCTGGGAGGATGCACGCCCTGCATCCCTGCACGCTGATCTGCACCGCTGTGCCGGAGCAGAGATGCTGAGCGCGGGGGAGGAGGAATGTAGGCCACCCAAAGCAGAGCAACAACACAGCACGGGGACAGAGGCACAGCAGGAGCAGCACTGCTCCCATCCCTCCTGCAAAGGTCAGAGCCGGCAGTACCCACACGTGGGTTGCACAGTGGGGCGGTGTGGGGAGCAGCACAAGGATGTGCTGTGTGAGCTCCATCTGGGTGTTTGTGCTGCGTGGAGCCCGCAGCTCGTGGGTATGTGAGCCTGCTGCTGGATCCGGACTTGTGGCAGCCCCCAAAGTTGGTGGGGCTGGGGCAGGATCCGTGCCTGACCCTCAGCACCTCCGGATAAAACACCTCCGGGTGCTGCGCTGGTGCTGCTATGGGGCAGCGCTGCTGTGACCGGAGTGACTCAGAGCCGTTTCCATGCTGGAAGGGCAATTAGCAGCGGGTGGTGACACCGGCACAGGGGGGGGGATGGGGGTCCCGCAGGCGCTGGGGCAGAGGGGCCTCGTGCCGCAGCGGGGCCACAGCGCGGCCACACCGGGGCCACCGGCACTGCTGCAACGGGGCGGCTGCGACGCCTCCAGCGAGCGGCACCGGGGCCACCACCGCAGAGCCACCGTGCGGCCGCCCCCGGGGCCACGACGCAGCCATCCTCGGGGCCACGGTACGACCGTCCCCAGGGCGGCGACGCAACCACCTCCGGGCCACCCTCGGGGCTACGGTGCAGCCCATCCCCGAGCCACCGCGCTGCCGCCCCCGGGCAACCGAGCGGCCACCTCCGAACCACGGAGGACGCAGCGCAGCCACCCCCGGGGTCGCCCCGCAACCCGCATCCCCCGGTAACCCCCCCTCCCCACCCACCTGCAGGTGTAGCTGAGGTTCCTGCGGATGCTGCGTTTGAAGAAGCTCTTGCAGCCCTCGCAGGTGAAGACGCCGTAGTGCTTCCCGCTGGATTTATCCCCGCACACCACGCAGTCCACCGCCGCTCCGGGCCGCTCCTCCTCGCCGTGCTCCGCGTCGCTGCCGCCGCCCGCGGGGGACGCCGCCTCCTCCGCCGTTCCTCCGCCGCCGTTGGGTTCTCCCCACCCGCCGGCCACCATGGCCATGGCTGCGGGTCAGCGCCGCATGGAGCGGAGCGAGTTCGGCAAGTTTTCCTGGAGCTGGCTTGGGTTCGGTTGGCTTTTTGGTTTTCTTTTCTCCTTCGGTGGGTTGGGGGTGAGAGGAGGAGGGGAGGAGGGGGTGGGGGGGTTGGGGAAGGGAGCGGGTATTTTTTTTTTTTTTTTGGCTGTTGTTGTTCGGCTGTTTGGATCTCGTTCTCCTCCTCCTCCCCCCCTTCCTTTCTCCTCGCCGCTAAGGATCAGCGGGGGGGCCCCGAGCAAACTTTGCGACGGGAGCGGGGCGCGGCGCGCAGCATCACCCCGGGGCTCCGCCGCATGCGGGAACCGCCGCTCCGCTCCTCCGCTCCGCGCGGCCCCGGGAGGACGGACAGACAGACGGACGGACAGACGGACGGAAGGAGGAGGAGGCGGTAGCTCTGCCCCCCCCCCCCCCCCCCCCCCCCCCCCCCCCCCCCCCCCCCCCCCCCCCCCCTACGGGCCCCGCCGCCGCCGCCGCCGCATGCAGCCGGGCCGGCGGGACCCGCTCCCCGCGCCCCGGGTTCTCCCCGCCTCCCGCGAAAGAGCAAAGTTCAGCCGCTGCCGCGGTGGCCGCCCTGGATGCTCCTCCCCGTCCTCCTCCCCTTCCGCTCACCGCCCGCCGGGTCCTGCCCCGCTGCCCCCCCCCCC